AGATTTCCACATGAAACCACAACCAACCACATGCAACACCGAAACTCAATTACACAAGCTTTAATATACTTGTTCCTATCATTATTCCGTTTGATTTCCTCCCAAATCTTCATTACCTAGAAATTTCATTCTCCATCAACTCTTCAGTTATGCAGAAAATGGAGAAAAGAAGGGTAGGAGAGTGTTTATAATGCTCACCTTAACCGAAAATGACAACTGCATGTGAGCTTCACCACCTCCGATCACTTCTCAGGCCTCCCAACTCTCACTCTCGCCTCTTTCCTTCTCTGGTCACTCACAGGTCACAATTGAAGCGAGTGAAGAGTAATCTGAGGCTTATATCAGAGGGTGTGCACGTGAGGGACGCGTGAGGTGACAAAATGACTGTTTTGCCCTTGCATCCAATTCTTCTCGGGAGTCCATTCCTTTCTCTATTTTTCTGAAATTATAAAATAAATTCAGAAATTAATCCCCAATCTTTTGCATGGATTTTCCTTGGGAAAATGACAATAAAATACCACCTGAATTCCAAAAAGACAAATAAGGGACCTGAATAAGCAAAATGACAAATAGGGTACTGGGTACCAATTTGGAATATAGATTTTCGGCCAAAAGACCGAATTGCCCTGATTGTCTCTGAACATTGAGCAGTGTATTCATGCGATAGAGAAAGGGAGAAACTGATTTCCTTCTACGAAACTAAATCCAAGTTCCTGCAGTCACCAAAAAGGATTTTTCGAAATCACGTTGCCGTCGTCGTAGGAGTAGATTGCCATCGCTGAATTTGGTTACCATCGCTGAAATACATTGCCCTGTCTGAAATAACTTGTACCCCCTGAAATTGTCGTCGTCGAAGAGGTCGCTGAAGTATTTGAATCATTCATGAGTGAGTAGAAGTTGATGGCGGGATTTGGATTATTCATTTTTGTGGCTGTTTCATGGTGAAATAGGAACAAGATTATTGCATTTGAGGGTTCATATTCAGTATTTGGTGAATGATGAAGCAAAAATCAGAAAATAGTCGCAAGCAATTACGTAATGTAATTGCTGTCATATGTTTGCTGGTTTTTGGTAAATCCCATTCCGTGAATGGTAAATCCCATTCCGTGAATGGTAAATTTTAATATACATATAGTTAATTATGAAACTTAATAGTTCAATATTTATTGTGATGTACTTCAGGTGCACGTTCACTGAATGATTTATTTATGCTTACAAGTTGCTCTTCCGGTGAAAACAGGTTTACAAAACCCATTGAAGAAGTGGTCATTTTCACTATAAAAGTTGTAAATCCCATTATGTGTTTTGTAAAATTCAGCGTGAAATTTTATTGGTGGTGAAAAGTAAGTTACTCATCCCCCGAAAATATGTTGCAAAATCTATTAACAAAGCGGTCACTTTTATCACAAAAGTTGTAAATCCCAGCATATGTTTTATAAAATTCAACGTGAAATTTTATTGGTTTTTAGAAACAAGTTACCTATCCCCTGAAAACAGGTTACAAAAGCCATTTAAGAAGTGGTCATTTTCACTATAAAAGTTGTAAATCTCACTGTGTGTTTTGTAAAATTCAGTGTGAAATTTTATTGGTTTTTAGAAATAAGTTGCTCATCCCCTGAAAAGAGGTTGCAAAACCCATTTAAGAAGTGATCATTTTCACTAAGAAAGTTGTAAATCTCACTACATGTTTTGTAAAATTCAGCATATAATTTTATTGGTTTTTATAAACAAGTTGCCAATCCCTTGAAAACATGTTGCAAAACCCATTGAAGAAGTGATCATTTTCATTATGAAAGTTGTAAATCTCACTATGTGTTTTGTCAAATTCAGCGTGAAATTTTATTGATTTTTAGAAACAAGTTGCTCATCCCATGAAAAAAAGTTGCAAAATTCATTTAAGAAGTGGTAATTTTCACTACAAAAGTTGTAAATATTACTCTATGTTTTGTAAAATTCAGCATAGAATTTTATTGATTTTTAGAAACAAGTTGCCAATCCCTTGAAAACATGTTACAAAACCCATTGAAGAAGTGATCATTTTCACTACGAAAGTTGTAAATCTCACTATGTGTTTTGTCAAATTTAGTATGAAATTTTATTAGTTTTTAGAAACAAGCTGCTCATCTCCTGAAAACAAGTTACAAAACCCGTTGAATAAGTGGTCATTTTTACTACGGAAGTTGTAAATCCCACTATACGTTTTGTCAAATTTAGCATGAAATTTTATTAGTTTTTACAAACAAGTTGTTTATCTCCTGAAAATAGGTTGCAAAACCCATTAACAAAGTAGTCACTTTCACTACAAAAGTTGTAAATCACAATATGTATTTTGTAAAATTCATAATTAACTACATGTATAGTAAAATTTACCATTCACATAGTGGAATTTACCATTCACGTAGTGGGATTTACCAAAAACCAGCAGACATATGACAGCAGTTACGTAACGTAATTGCTTGTCATTGTTTTCTGATTTCCACTTCATCTTCCCCGCAGGTTCACTCCCTCTCTCACTACAAATCCTCTTTCTCACAACAAAACCCACAAAATCAACAATCTCTACAGAATGGTGATGCGAAGGAGTAAGATAATAGCATTTCCAACATTCTTCTTTCCTTCTTCCCGCATTTCATCACCGTCGGTCTTCCTCTCTCCTTTCTCTCACTGCGTCGCTTTCTTCCTCTCTCCTTTCTCTCACTTTCAGACAGGGTATTTTGGTCTTTTGGCCAAAAATCTGAATTCCAGATTGGTACCCAATCCCCTATATGTCATTTTGCTTATTCAGGTCCCTTATTTGTCTTTTTGGAATTCAGGTGGTATTTTATTGTCATTTTCCCATTTTCCTTTCTATCAGCTTATTTGACCCTTAAAATAACTTCTCTAAAAAATTTCAAATCAAAAGTCAACTCCTAGTTATTTTTCTTAAATTTTACCAGAAAATAGTCCTTAGTTAAGGATTTTATACCCCAGCTAGTATCTTCTCTTCATCAAATAATTATTCTAAAATTTTCATATCAAATATAAACCTCTAATTATTTTTCCTTAAATTTTCTAAGAAATAGGCCATTTCTATTCTAAAAATTAACTTTAAAATTATTTAAGCTATTTTTGGGGAATAAACTTTTTCATAAAATTTTTAAGCCCTCAAAATTCATATTCCATAATTTTTCCCATTTTATTTAGGCTCTAAATAATTTTTAATGAATTTTTTTTGCTTCTTGAATCAGAAAATCCGAGATGTTACAATAGCAAATTTGAAAATCACTTTCCAAATGTATATTTCGTTTTATTATTTCTAATAAACTAAAAACAATAGAATATAAATATAAATGAAAAATACTGAAAAAATGATTTTTTGGACAATGTTATTAAACTGGCAACACACAAGTTTGATATGCCTCTACTAAATCATACTCTTCCAATCCTAAATATGAGACTCATTTTGTAGTGTAAATTATACTATAAATTGGTTCTTACATTTAGAATAGGAGGTGTATGATTAATTGTATAATGCTATTTAAATGAGAATCTCAAAAGACTAACATATTATAGAATCGAGTCGTAAAACAACACACCATGAAATTAAAACAAGTGCAACTCTGTCATAAAAAATATTGGTTTTCTTTATTCTTGGTTCATTTTTTCACTTCTGTATCATGTGACTTGTCTCCTCAGTTGCAGGAGCTGGTTAAAAACTGAAAGGCCATAGTTGATCTCTCTGTTGCTTTGATTTTTTGTTTGGCTTCCTAGCTTGTCTCATTTTTGTTCATAAATGCATTGATCGTTAGGAAGCCTAAGATGTTGTATATATATAATTGGCTTAGTTAGTTTGCAAAATAAAATAATTAAGGATTTTGTATGATATGGAGAACCATTCGGTATATTTAATGTAAATTTTAGTGAATGGTTATTAAGTTCTTTTAATTACTAATTATAGTTTTTAAGTTCTCCCCATATTACCTGCCTTCAACATGTTTTGCTACTTTATATCTAGTTGTACGACACTATAGGATTGTTTTTATATTATAAAATATTTTGGTTTTAGTATGTTTATCTGGGGCTAAGCCATTGAGCAAATATTAAAACTTACCAGGTATACAAGTCTTGACCGGGCGCGTATAATTTGGGATGGAATATTCCTAAGCCCTTCGTGGTGTTTAATGATGGGATCCCTAAGCCTTTACTGGCAAACATTGATTTAATGACTAGCATAGAGTCTTTTGGTTGAGGCGTTATGGGTTGGCTACCAAAAGGGTCTTAGAATTAATATATAAATGTGACTTATTTTATCATTCATGTTATTAATTTACTTATATTTCATTATATTGCATTTATTTACAAATGTTCTCCAACTTGAAATTTTGAGAAGTTTGCCAAAGACGATAAAATGAAGAGAATGATTATATTGGAAGAGAAGGAAGATTTTTCTTTTGATGCGGATGACTGTCAAAAACTTGTGGCCGTCGAGAACGACAATTTATGCGTTTGAACATGAAACCCACAATCTCAAAACGGGTGAAGCAAGACTAATGATCAATGTAAAAAAATTATAATATAAAATTTTCAGAAAACCCACTATTCATATATCATAAATAGTACCATTAATATCAAACACCATGCAATGTAGTATTATATTATGTCTTTTCAATAACACACCCAAGTGCGCACACGAGAGTCAAAGTCCTGCCTATCAGTCATTTAAACACTACATATCTTTAGCAAAAAAATATATTTATCTATCTTTTATAAATCATTCAACGCAGAAGTGTTCTATTTGTTAGAAAAGGAAGAAACAATATAATAAAAGCTTCAAACTTATGCAGCTATCACAGAAAAGTGAGCAAGTCAAAAAAACGAAAAATAAGGATTACAGTTATCATTATTTTACACATAGTGCTGCAGTAAAGGCTGAATAAAATCAGCAAGGGCCAAGGGAACATAGATTTTCAAGGACGGGACACTAAAATGTGCTACCAAGCTTCAAACATAGGTTCCTGCTTTTATACTACTTGGAGGACGGAACATAGGGTTTGAATGATGGTGAGAATGAGAAGTATGATTCCAGCAATAGAAGCCACTGTTTGCCAGGGTGTCTTACAGTAATCTTTCCTCAAAGTTGCCTTTCTCTTGTGCCAAGGATCTTCATAAAACTCATTCAAACTTTTGGAAATGATAAGCAATTTTTCATTGAAACCGTAACAAGTTATATTTTTCCCAAGACCATTAATTAATGCAGCAACCTCATTGGCATCACCTAGCAAGTTGTTGATAATCTTTTCATGAGCGAGAACCTCCACATCCTTATTCGTGTTAATTAGGTTGTCCAATACAGCAATATAATCACAAAAATATGTTTCAGACGGATAATGACACTGTTCTAAAGCCATCATATTACGGAACAAAAATTCAGTCTTATCATCAACATGAATTTGAGGAATCTTTAGAACAGGTCTTGAAAATTCCAAGTCTAGTAAACACTTGCTTGTGCTTACCTCCAACTTCACTCCTGCCTCTTGTCTTGAAAATTCCAAGTCTAGTAAACACTTGCTTGTGCTTACCTCCAACTTCACTCCTGCCTCTTGTAACTCATTTGCACTATACCTAAGCATGTCGTTGGAGGGATTCCTTTCTAGTTGGGTTTCCCGTAAGTAAAATAATCTAAGAAGATCTGTGAAATGCTGTATCTTGTGATTAGGCCCTAACTCTTGCTCGTTATGACGACCAAAGTAAGAATATGTAAGATCAAGAAATGAAGGGAGATCACCTCTACGGTCATGAGGAAAGGCCATATTGTATAGCGCTTCAAGGAAAGAGAATGGAAGTTGATTCTCAAGTAAAAGCAAATCATCACGTATATCTTCCGCCAACCGAGGTTGTGATAATTTATCGCCTTTTGTCTGAGGCTCATGGCCCATAATAAAGAGTTCAATGATGAAAGCAGAATCCACTAATACTAGTTTCACAAGACACTTCTTATTATAGTTGATGCTCTCAAAATAAGAAGCACGGACCATTGGCTCAGACTGTTTTGCTAAGTTAACCAAACTGTCCAAGCCTATCTTAGCTCTTTGTGCAAATCTTTTAAACATTATTTCTTTGTGCCTCTCCATACCTCGCAGCCTCTTATCACCATGATGGAAAGGACCAATGGAAACAACCTTAGGAGTGTAAGCTTCCTCTTTTAGAAGACGGATCGTTGGGGGCACCCTGTAGATACAACACAAAGGTGACAAGAGACCATCTTCACTAATCTCTATCATTGCTTTTATGTCTATGCTGATCGCCTCATCTTCCATCTATATATCAATTTAGATTGAGAATCAGAAGGAAAGGAAAAATTTCACATCAGCAAAGACATGAATGTGATCAGAAAGCAGAAAGAAAAATCTGACCTTTTTTGTGCGAAAGAATAGTTTGACTTTTTTAGTAGAATAATAAAAATAATTAAATAACTTGACAGTAAAAAATATTGGGAAAATCGCAAATAAAGATTGTGGAATTACAAAAATTACACATGGAGACCAATTCACAAAAATTATTGTCAAAACCCATACTATTGTTGTCAAAACTCATATTAATATTGTCATGAGTTCTAATTTATAATTTTTCTAATTTCACAGTCTCTATTTATGATTTTTCCAAAAATATTTCACTTATCTAACTTTTTTAATTCTTCATTGGAAGAAGGAAAAAAAAACATATTGAAGGCACGTGATAAACAACCTCCTGTATATTGTAAGATAGCTCACCAAACCAAAGCAACGAACTTATGAATGAAAAATAGATCACATTTCTTATACTTATTATATCAAATTTTTCAATCACATAGTGATGTGCCATATTTTTTCATGCAGGTTTATAATTAAATAATAATATTTAAAATTATGATATATAATTATGTGTGATTGAAGAACTTGATATAATAATAGATATAAGAAAATTGATCTAAGTATTTTAACTGAAAATTATTCATTTTTTAAATCTAGTTTGAAAACCCATTTTAAAGACAGAAACTTTAAATGACGCCTCATCACTTATTTATATTGGTAAAGTACTAATAATTAAAAGAAAGATGCCTCCGCGATCTATTCGTGTTCTTAATAATAACTTACTTGTATTCTCATAAAATTGTTTATAACTAAAACCAGATATAGCTAAAGAAAAGGGTACAGAAAAAAAGAGAAAACAAAAAGGCCGCAATGGGGTATTAAACACCAACGAAAGGCACAGGATGCATACTTGCAATCTGACAAATGTAAATATATGTTTGAAAGGTGAAACAAAATAAGGCTATTAAAAAAGTCTAATAGTTGAGAATTATATAAACAGAAGCAACCTTAATAATAGTAAGCAAAAAGCAAAGCATAGGAAACAAGAAAATGCTTCAGAATTGAAGAAAGAGTAGTAAAGGATGATGCATACGTACATGTTGTTGTTCTGAGGAATTGGAGGATAAATTTGTAGCCAGAGGTGAGAGAAGTGGTCTCTTCAGCTCCACCATTTGTTGACCACTCTCATCAGAAGCAAATGTTTGATTCATTTCTCAGTATGTATTACTTTTGCAGATATGAAGGAAGAGAGGAAAGTTAAAAACAGAGGAGAGGATAAGATGAGAGAAGTTGAGATGGACCACGAGAGAGTTGTGTGTGATGTTAGGTAGGGTAACATAGAAGGTACGTACCTTGAATGCAAAAGACGCAGCGAGCTGATCACAGATAAGTAGAAGGAGTAGACAGAACAGAGTAGAGGGAGATGGAGAGAGGAGAGGAGAGGTTTTTGAAATGGAGGGAACTGAGGGAGTGTTGTTGGTGTGTCAAATGGGTCGATGGGCAGACGAAGCAGAGCCACACTATTTATACAGGCGAAAAGCCTAAGACCTCTTGTGCCGCGTGTGCAACCATATGTGTGTGTGTGAGCCCCTTTCATTTGCAATTGCATGGCCCTCAGTTTCTCGTGAGAGACAAGGTTTATTATTCTCCAACTTCAGTTTTTGTACACTCATTTTCTACTAGAGGTGATAAACCAAGCTAACGGTGTGAATAAGGACCAACCCATTACAGTGCGGGTTGGAGTAGGCCGCACCTTAGAGGGTCGGTAAAATGCTAGCTTGGCGGGCCCGCCAGCCTGCTTTTTTCTTCATATTTAAAATACAATTTTTTTTCTAATTTTGAAAAACAAAACACAAAAAAAGAATGTTCTTTTATATAACCGTATGCTGAGTTTCATTTTTATACAACCACCTAATTGTAATTTCGAATTGAGTAAAATAAATAAGATAGTATTTTATAGTTAATGTTGTAATGTTGTGCATTATCCTCATTATTTTCGGTCAGTGCCTATGATAATCTCTCAAACTTCTTGTCAATTCAACTTATTTTAACACTCTTTTCCGGGTTTTGGAAGCTAATTGTATAAAGTTATTCTCTTAAAGCTAGAAAATATGGTTTGAAAAAGTAAACTTTGATTTATACTAATAAGTGGGGATTATTTGTGCAAGGCTTCCAAGATTCTTGTTGTAGAAAATAGCAAGAGCTGGAAGATGAATGACAAAGAGAAAAATTCAACCAATTTTGGTTGATTAGAGGAAGATCAAGGACCCAGAATGAGTAAAGATGGAAGACTGAAGGTAGATAGGTTTAAAAAGCACTATCCGCTACGGTGCCTCAAGCAACCCGTGGCGGCATCTCCAACAGAACGAGAGGAGAGGCATTCTGTAGAAGGCACCATAGCACCTATCCATATCCAGCACGGTGCCCATCCCTTGCCAAGAAGGTCCCATTCTATGTAATCCATCATGGCATTTATCCCTTGCAGCTTTGCGTTTTGCATTGTAACTTAAAAATTAGGACATATAAAAGGAGGAACTCGTGATTTTCGAGCATTCTTCCACTTGGAGGCTTATTTGGAGGTGTTCTCATCTAGGATTTGGAGGTTTTGAAGCTTGGAAACATTGGGCTTGAAGTTGCAAGAGATTGGAAGCTTCTTCCTTCATTTTTCTTGTTTTTCTTCTCCTCTTCTCCTTTGTTTGTGTAATGGCTATGAAATGTCTATGTATTTGTAGCTCTTTGCTGAACATGTGTAGCTAGAGTAGTCATTCTAGGGTTATTTGGATCTATTGTATGGATTAAGAGTTATTTTAACTCTCTCTTTAATATTAATGATAATGTTATGTCGTTTTTATCTTGAGCTTAATGCTTCCTTGTAATAGGCCACCATTTGGAATGATTTGTTGATTGGTTGAAGCTTGAGAAAGTTAAATCAATCTTTGAATTTGGGTAAAAACATGCTAGACCGAAAATCTATCCTATTAAATGGATGGTTTGTTGATAGAATAAAGATATATTTATTGACCTAGCATTGTCCAAAAAGGATTTTGGTTTTCAAAGTGTAATCTTTTTAAATAAAAGCAAGAGACTGTGAAGTTTTACTGAGATTGCAAAACTTGGTTTTGACTTGGGAAAGCGTGATCAATATTTGTGAACCTTAGGCTAACCTAACTTATCGTTAAACACTAAATGAGAAATTACTAACCAAGTTTTATGAAGTACAATAGTAAGAAATAACCCTCGATCCTTATTTGTCTCAAAGTCAAGTTTATTTTATTTCAAGTTTAATCTTTGTTTTCACAGTATATTACACAACTTCATTTACAACAATTATTTCACTTAACCTAATCAAGAGCACAACTGTAATTTTTAACTCGTCTGGCCTTGGTCTTTGAATGAATGATACTTTTTATACTACTTGCGACCCATCCACTTAGGGTTAAGCTAATCGGCGAATAGCCTATAATTAATAGTATAGTCAAAGTAACGAAGGCTCAATCTAAGTTGAAAAATGTTAACATTCAATATAAAGAACTATAATAGTACAGAAAAACTGAAATAAAAATACCCCTGACAAGAAGAATGTATAGTAAAAAATAGAGACACAATTTTAGTGATAAGAAAACCTTTATAGTATAGTGGTAAATTAACCACTATACTAAAAATGTTGAAGCTGGACTTCAGTCTTAAACTTGGATGGTGGACTAGTGGATTGGGATAAGATAATATGATGTGGTGACTAATTTGTCTCTTCATCGTTTTCCTTTAGTTTTTGAATAAAATTAAACAACAAGAACAAAAACAATAATAATTCTCTTTTCCATTTGTGAAATGAAGGATGCCAACGTAGTTAATGCCCCGGTAGAAATATTAGTAATGCGTGTATTCATTTCATTGGCTGATGTCTTCTACGTCATTTTATGACCGCATCTCTTCCTTCGTCGTCTTAAGATGTTTAGTATGAGATGTTTTTGGTTGGGGGTGGTGGGTAGATGATTTCTAATTCATTCAAATATTGCCAGTAGTAAGGAATATGTAAAAACTACGGAAGTGTTCCCTTCTTTTAAATATAAAAATTAATTTATAAGATTGATTTTAAGTTTAATTAACAAGTAGAATTAAAAACTTTTAAGTTTAATTAACAAGTAGAATTAAAAACCTCCTAATTTGGATTTTAATTATACATGCCGAAATTAATTATGAACCTAAAATCAAACGTACACCTTTATACATGCCAAAATCAACTATGAACTCAAAATCATAGTTGTCTCATAAACTACTATTACCAACTTTAATTTTCAATTCTGTTTCTCAATCATCAATCAATTTTATTATTAATTTTAGGTTCATAATTTTATCATTTCTTTATTTAATTTAAATATACATACCCATTTATGTTAAGATTATTATTTTATATTTAATTCACATTTAGATCTCTCTAGTTTCTTTTATCTTTTATTTTATAATGAATTCCAAATGGTTGATCATTTAATTTCCTTTTATTTTGTCTTATGTCTTACTCTTTTAGTTTCTTTTACCTTATTACCAGCACTCAAAGTCTCAAATGAGGATTGGGATCTTATAGGCATTGTTGTCAAACTTGTAAATTGACTCTCTGAGTTTAATGTTTTCGCATTTTCAGCTTACAAAATCATTTCAACTTGTTTTTAAACTATGTTAACTTTAAACTCGATTGAACCTGCAAGTTTACTGACCAAGTTTATGGATTTTACGTTTTCAACTTATAAAGTCATGTCAACTCACTCTTAAAATTATATTAAATTTATTGATTTGATTATGTGTTGAGATATGGTATGCTACAAGTGAATATTTGCGACAAGAAATGAATCCTAATTTTAGGATGACTGACCCTTTGACTTTATACATGAATTTCATAGAAATTTCTTCGTTGAATATGATAAGTTATGAATATTGATGGATTTAATTTCAGTTATTTGAATTTAAAATAT